TTGCGATCAGAGCGCTGTGCGCCGAAAAGTCCTCTATTTAGCTCGCTTTGATCGTACGAGCGAAAAAATTTTTTCTGACTGTGACATTGACAGGCTTTTTCAAACTCTACGCTGTCTCCGTCTACCACATGGAAAATGAAGATCGTTCAAGAGATGATACAAAATTAGGATACCACTTTGATAACTATTAACTATCGTGCTGACTCAAAAACCCAATGAGCATTCATAGAATTCCGCAAATTCGCGTGGAACTATTGTGCATGGCGTATCCGAATTGTTGCTGGCTTGAAGAAGTGCAGTTCTAGAAACGCTAGCAAAAACCATACCCTATCTCTGGAATCGTTAGCTGAGTTGACTTCCGAGGATAAGCCGTGCTCAAGCATTTCAATGCAAAGCGCTGGAATCAGAGCGTAAGCTCGACCCACCTCCGGCGTTAGTGTTTGACAAATAAGCTCAAAATTACATCTTAGAGAAGAAATAATGAAAGAATAAAAGTTGTGGTCATAATCGATCTCTCCTCAGATCGGATAGAACTAACCTTAGCAACAGCGTCAATCACTGGTAGTAAAATTACTCCCGCGAATGGGAAAAATCGTCGATACGCTTCTTTTAACTGAAAAAACGTTCTTTTTCGTTTTGCAACTTTCTAATGCTGTGAGAGATGAGCAAAAGGGAATGAACCCAATTAAAATCAAAAATGAAGACTCTCGCAATATAAGGGGGCATTGTGGTGGCAATGCATTTGAAACCGTATACAACACCTCGTTTTTGTCAAAACGGGACAAGCCTCAGGCGGGGAGGAGAGACTCAAGAGCGTGAGCAATTTTCATTTTCCACTAAGTTTCTGCCCCATCCTACGCTGAGCCCCAGAGGTACGCCCCGTATCTAGCGATAGCACCGAAATGAACTTGACTTGTTTTGTTTGTTAACTGCTGTTTTAACGCCGCAGTTCGAGTTGGATGAAATGGTGCCCCGGTAGCGTAACTGGTAGCGCACTTGCCCGGAAAGCGAGAGGTGCGGGTTCTAGTCCCGCCTGGGGCGAAAGTTTTGTTCACAACCCAGCATTCTTGTGAAACAAGGATCAATTATAATGCGCTAGTGTAATCGGGAGAAGCAATGCGGTGGTTCAGGAGATCTCCCAGCCAAAACCTTTGGGAAATCGCCACTCTCTGCTTGGCCGCCTGAGTCTTTAGCCAATCCTAGCGCTCAGAGCCATGTTTAGCGAAGGTAACTGAAATCAGCTACAGCTCATCCGAGTCGGATGGCTCCATATGGCAATTCACGTGGGCTTGCCTATGTTTTGAAATCTCGGTACATAGCTTATTCTGGGAAAATTACTGCAAACTATCACTACTGAAGCCTTCCAGTGCTGCAGCAGTTCTCAAATAAGAACACTAAATGGCTATAAAAATAAATAATAAATTACTTACTTGGTCAAGTGAGTAGGGAACTTCTGTAGAACCACAATAGGTGGTAAGATACCCGTGGAATTCCTTCAACAGACTGTCCCATTTCTCGCGTCGGTCGTGTCCACTGAGGGTCGTGATCAGTAGGCGCGTCAAGTCTTCGGCCGCGCATCCAAAGTGAGCCAGCTAGAATATTCAACGTCACGAATCGTTCTATGTGTATTATAGTATGTACAATATTTACCCTAATATGAAAATCGAAAAGGAGCGAAAATCCACTTCAATTTTGGAATAGACCGGTGTGGGTCAAGAGATTCAGATTTGTGGTGGCGCGCGGCATTCTCTAAGCCACATTGAGGTCGCCTACCGTAAGCAAGCTGTGATGCCAAAATCAATTAGGAAAATGGGCAGTTGTAACGTTAAATACGTTTTCACCCACAGTCGGTGAGACTTAGGAACTCTTCTAGACTGGGTAACATCCTGTTTTGAATGGATTAGTGACACTCTTGAGTTCTGTGGGAAAAATGCAGTTGAAAAGGAGAGAAAATGAAAAAAAGTGATTGAGAGCTCCACTCAGCATTGTTACTGTTTAGCGCTCAAACTTGCGCAAAGATGAACTTGCTCCTCTGGAAAGCTGGGTATTTTCACAGGGAAAACGTCACTACGCCCCAACTTGGACCTCCTGACACCAAGACCTATGAACATGACAATTACCATGACTTCCTGCTTTCCACCACTTCCCCCAATTGGGAGCTCAGACGAAGAAGCGCGCGACCACGTCAGCCATTTCATGCTCGCTTTTGTAAACTCTTTGAAACGCCAATTTTCGGGAAATCCTTCACAAAAAGGAACCGATGTTTGCGTTTCAAATCGGGGGGGGGGGGAGCGACCAAAATGCGATTTGAATGCAGAAAGTTTGAACTGTATACCGAGAAGAGAAGACAGGAAATAATCGTGTCGAGTTCGTCATATCAAACAATTTGTTCTTACTGGCGAGCAGAGCGAGCGCGACAACAGCGCCAGGGTTCAAGGACGGAAATGATGGCTAATGTGAGCTAATGGACGAGATTCCCCTAGCAAACCCCACGAGACACGATTCGTTTTCGGTCATCCACAATTTCATTAGTGACCGCTGTTACCCTACATATTTGATAGAGGTTCTGATTTGCTTTAATTAGGTGAAAAACGAGGCAAAATATAGTTTTGGGCGCAATGTGGCTTGGGGGGGCAGCCGCCGCGCGCGGCGTTGCGGCAACAGGAAATTTGTGAGCCAGGGGGAATGTAGCCAATTCAGGGGGTTGGGGTGAGGGCAGTCACTAGCATGCGTAAGAAGCTGGAATGTTCCGTGAGAAGCTGGAATGTTCGAGTTACACTACATCGCTGAGCCGCGCGCGGCGACTGGCCCCCCCCGAGCCACATTGCGCCTAGTTTTGGGAGTGTTTACCATAGAAAGAGCGTCAGTCGAAGGCATAGTGATAGCTGACAGTTGATAAATGATAGTTGTAATTAGTGACAACTGATAGAATACAACTGCAACAGGCTAATCATTTCATTGGCAGAAAACATTTACATTTTGTGGAGGCCGTCGTCACTTGTGATGTGTGGTCTGCAGTGCACACCACCTGACCAACGGACACAAGGTTAGACGTTCGCTCAGGGTGATATAAATTGGATTCATGGCGCATTCTAGCAAAAGCGAAAGCGATTCACTCACTTGAAAGTCAACAATTCTGGCCAGCTCAAATCCGCTCTCGGTTTTCTTCCACAACAAATTTGCTGACCACAAATCGCCGTGGATCATAACGTCCTTCATTCCTAAACACCAATGAGTATCGTATTTTATTTTTCTCTTATGCACCCTGTTCCTATTTTTTCTATTCATTTACACTCGGCGTGAGTCATGGCCTGGTACAGAAAAAAATAAACAAATATCACTCCACTCTGCAATTCACCCCCTATCGATCGATTGTCCGGAGGTTTTCGCGGTGCTTGCGCCGCGTGCGCCGTTTTCAAACAATTCTCACAAGTTCTTTGCTTCGAAAAGCGAAATCCATTTTTGGTATCAGCGTCAAAAGTACCATTAAATGACATAGAAATGAATTCCAAATTCTCAAAACAAAATCTCCCTTGATCTTCACCACCACACGACTGCGTATACGGTAAGCGCTTTGATCTACCGTCGATGCCTGCCGTCGAAAAAAAGCGTCCCGCGCCGAAATCGAGGGACTGGCAAAAAGCGAGAGACTGTGGATTGCGGAGAGGGCAGACGGCCATACGAGGGGTCGGCGCCAACCATCGATGGGTAGATCAAAGTGAACCATCAAGCACATCAGAGTGTGCAAAACCAAGATCAAAGGTATATTCATATTAAAGTTTACAGTACAAAGTGTACGTCATCACATTGGGTTTTCGGCGCTGATTTCAAATATGAAGACCATTTTCGAATTT